TCAATGTTGCAGTTTGAGGCTTTACTTTTTCTTCAGTTCTCTCAGCTTGAAAAATGCTGAGTATGTTCTTCCCTTTTGATTTTATAACTCCAAATTTTGACCATTCATTTCATTATAGTACTTTGTTTTGTCTTCTCAAGCTGCCCTTTGAAATCTTCTGTTCAGACCTTTTACTTTCTCATCACTTCCATTCACTTCAGCTACTCTATGTTCAAGGGCAACTTCAGAATCTATTTTGATATCCATTTTGGTGTTTTATTTCTTTCCTGTCTTTATAATGACCTTTTGCATCATGTCTAATGTCACAATTCATCTGATCTTTGGCCATTTGTATTAATACATCAAATCTATTCATCAGATGGTCTGTAAATTCAGGTGGTATGTACTTATGATTGTATTTTGGCTGTCATGTACTTGTTTGATTTGATTCCCCTGGCAAGGTTCAAATGTATAGCTGCTGTATATGTTGCTGAAAAAAGTATTTGCAATGAATATATCATTGATTTTGAAAAATTCTATCATACCTTCCCTGGCTTCATATCTTTCACCAAGGCCATATTTTCCAACTACTGATCCTTCTTCTTTGTTTCCAAAATTCACATTATAATCACTGTTGTGTTGTTGTTTTTAGGTGCTGTCAAATCAATTCTGATTCATAGCTACCCTATGTACAATAGAATGAAACACTGCCCAGTCATGTTCCATCCTCACAATGTTTGCTACACATGAGCCCATTGTTGTAGTCACTGTGTCGATCTATCTTGTTGAAGGTGGTCCCCTTTTTCACTGACCCTCCACTTTACCAAGCATGATATCCTTCTCCAGAGAATGGTCCCTTCTGACTACATGAGCAAAGTAGTTGAGAAGTCTGGCCATTCTCACTTCTAAGGAGTGTTCTGGCTGCACTTCTTCCAGGACAGGTTAATTCATTCTTCTGATAATCCATGGTATTTTCAGTATTCTTTGCCAACACCATAATTCAAAGGCATCAACTTTTCTTTAGTTGTCCTTATTCATTGTCCAGCTCATATGAATATGAGATGAATGAAAATACCATAGCTTTGGTTAGGTGCACCTTAGTCTTCAAAGTGACATCTTTGCTTCTTAATGCCTGAAAGAGGTCTTTTGCAGCAGATTTTCCCAGTGCAATATGACATCTGATTTCTTGATGGCTGCTTCTATAGGTGTTGATTGTGGATCCAAGTAAAATGAAATCCCTGACAACTTCAATATTTTCTCCATTTATTATGATGTTGCTTATTGGTCCAGTTGTGAGGATTTTCACTTTCTTTATGTTGAAGTGTAATCCAGGCTGATGACTGTAGCCTTTGAACTTCAACAATAAGTGCTTCAAGTCATCTTCATTTTCAGCAAGCAAGGTTGTGTCATCTGCATATTGCAGGTTGTTAATAAATCTTCCTACAATCCTGATGCTGCCTTCTTCTTCATATAGTTCAGCTTCTCCGGTTATTTTGCTCAGCATACAAATTTAATACATATGGTGAAAGGATACAACCCTGACACACACCCTTCCTGATTTTAAACCATATAGTATTCCCTTGTTCGGTTCAAATGACATCCTCTTGGTCTGTGTACAGGTTCCACTGTGAGTGTTTTTGAATTATCTTTAGCAAGATTGTACTTGTGTGTAATATTAATGATTTTGTTTTATAATTTCCACATTCTGTTGAATCACATTTCTTTGGAATGGGCACAAATATGGAGCTCTTCCAGTCAGTTGGCCAGGTAGCTGTTTTCCAAATTTTTTGGTATAGACAAGTAAATGTCTCCAGCACTGCAACCATTTATTGTAACATCAGAATGGTATTCTGTCAATTCCTGGAGCCTTGTTTTTCACTATTCCTTCAGTGCAGCTTGGACTTCTTTCAATACCACTGGCTCTTGATCATATGCTACCTCCTGAAATGGTTGAACATCGATCAGTTATTTTTGGTACAATGACTCTGTATATTCCTTCCATCTTCTTTTGATGCTTCCTGCATCATTCAATATTTTGCCCATAGAATTCCTCACTGTTGCAACATAAGACTTGATTTTTTTTCTTCAATTCTTTCAGCTTGAGAAATACTAAGCATGTTCTTCCCTTCTGGTTTTTGTTAGGTTACCTAGTGCCACTCTGACAAGAATATACCATAAATGGGATGACTTGAACAACAGGAGTTTATTCTCTTACAGTTTGGGAGGCTAGAAGTCCAAGTTTAAAGTGCCAGGCTCTAGGGGCTGTGTGAAAGCGCCTTGACCTTGGGCTTCAGCTCTGCCTCTTGTCCCGGCCCACTGAAGCTTGAGGCATCTCTTCATTCGACAGCTATTGGCTGCTGAGGCTAACAAGTCCAAGGTCAACAAATAAAATGGCACAGTCCTGATGTTACCAAACCACATGACAGGCCATTAATTCAAGTCCATTGAAAGTCACAAGGTAGACAGAACATGGCAGACTGCTGAACAACGACATGGCTACATGCAGGGTTCAAGCATGCCATAGGCTAGAGACAATTTCCAAAGCTGTTTCTTATATATGGGAAGCAGACCACATAACCAACAGCAGCTACTCAGCTGCTCTCAGTAGATTCCACCATGGATTTGATTACTAGTCTCATCATGGGGAATACTACATCCAACTGCCCAGCCACTCAACCAGGCCCAGCCAAGCTGACACACAAACTTAACCACCACAGTTTTCTAACTCCAGGTCTTTGCACATTTCATTATAATACTTTTGTAAATTATAATATTTGTCTTCTTGAGCTGCCCTTTGAAATCTTCTGTTCACCTCTTTTTATCCCATCATTTCTTCCATTCACTTTAGCTACTCTCCATTAAAGAACAAGTTTCAGGGTCTCTTTTGACATCCATTTTGGTCTTCCTTTCCTGTCTTTTACATGACCTTTTGCTTTCTTCATGTATAATGTTCTTGATGTCATGCCACCACTTATCTGGTTTTCAGTCATTGCCGTTCAATGTATCAAATCTGTTCTTCAGATGATCTCTAAATTCAGGTGGGATATAATCGAGATCATATTTCAACTCTCATGGACTTGTTTTAATTTTCTTCAGCTTCATCTTGAACTTGCATTTGAGCAATTGATAGCTTCTTCCATAGTCAGTTGCTGACCTTATTTTGACTGATGATTTTGAGCTTCTCCATTGCCTCTTTCCACACATGTAGTCAATCTGATTCCTGTGTATTCCATCTTGTGAAGTCTACATGTATAGCAGCCACTTATGTTGTTGATAAAAAAAAAAAAAAGGTATTTGCAATGAGTAAGTCATTGATTGTGCAAAATTCTATTATGCGATCTCCAGTGTCATTTCTGTCACCAAGGCTGTATTTTCCAGCTACCAGTGATTCTTCTTTGTCTCCAACTTCACATTCAAATTACTAGTAATAATCAATACATCTTGATTGCATATTTGGTAAATTTCAGACAGCAGAAGTTGGTAAGAATCTTCAATTTCATCCTTTTTGGTTGTAGTGGTGTTGCATAGATTTGAGTAACAGTAGTATTAACCGGTCTTCCTTGTAGGTGTATGGATATTATCCTATCACTGACAGCATTGTACTTCATGATAGATCTTGAAACATTCTTTGTATCACTGGATGCCACATAAGTCTCTGCAATCTGTCATTCCCAGCATAGGGGGCCATATGATTGTCTGATTCCAAATAATCAATACTAGTCCATTTCAGCTCACTAATGACTAGGTAATTGATTTCCACTTGTTCCATTTCTATTTTGACAACTTCAAATTTTCCTAGATTCATATTTCATACATACCACGTTCTAATTACTATTGGAGGCTTGCAGCTATTTCTTCTCATTCTGAGTCATCCCACTTCAGCATATGAAAGTCCTGAAAGCTTCACTCCATCCATGTCATTAAGGTTGATTCTATTTTGAGGAGGCAACTCTTGTTCAGTCATGTTTTGAATGCCTTCCAACCTGAGGTGTTCGTCTTCCAGCACTGTGTTCTGCTGCTATTTATAAGTTTTACCCTGGCCAGTATTTCAGAAGTAGGTTGCCAGGTTATTCTTCCTAATCTGTCAGTCTGGAAGCTCTGCTAAAACACGTTCTCTTATGGTTGACTCTGCTGGTATTTGAAATACTGGTGACATAGCTTCCAGCACTGTAGCAACATGCAGGGCACTACAGTACTACGAACTGACAGATGAGTGGTGGATTAATCTAATAATGATATTAAAGCGTTGTGATAGTTGGAGCTGTGTGTCAACTTGGCTGGACCCCAGTTATGTGTGGTTGTTCTCATGATGGGATTGGATGACTGTGTTCTGAGTGGCCAATCTGCCCAAGGGGAGTTTCCCTAGGGGTGTGGCCTGCTTCCAGGATATCCAGGGACACCTGGAAAGAGGGACATTCTTCTGTGGATGGGGATTCTGTTGTGCTGTCTGCAACCATTCATGAGTGAGCAGTCCACCGTTCGGCCTGGAGATCTTGGATTCGTTGTTTGTTGGAGTCAACAGCCAGTGTACTGCCTGCCAGCCTTGAGCTTCTCGGCCCCCTGTGGGGAAAGAGTCCTATTCTCAGAGTCCTATTGGACATTAGGGGCAACCATGTCCACTGTCCTTCATAGGAGACATTAATTTTGATTACTCAGTAAAGGTATTGCCTGACCTTTTCTCCAGGGACTTTGGACTTGCGAGCTTCTATAAGTTTGTGAGCCATTTTCCTAAGATAAATTTCTCTCTCTCTTTATATATATATAAGCTTTGCTGGTTTTTGTTTCTCTAGAGAATACAGTCTAACACAAGCATGTTTCCCCCTCATTACAGGGGCCAGTATAGGGTCAGATATTATTTTAATTGTTATGCCTCTTTAGCTTCCTTTAATTTACAGTATTTCCTCAGCCTTTGTGTTTTATAACACACATTGACATTTTAAAAATTATATAGTAACCTAACACTTTTTTTCTTAATACGATGCTTCTCATTTTGTGTCTGTCTTATGTTTCCTTATACTTAGATTGAAGTTATGCATCCTCAGGTAGAAAACAGCATGGATGATATTGTGTCCTTCTCAGAGTCCTATTGGACATTAGGGACAACCATGACCATTGTCCTTCATAGGAGACGTTAATTTTGATTATTCAGTGAAGGTATTGCCTGCTTTCTCTACTGTATAATTATTATTGTTCTTCTCTCCTATACTTCATGATTAGTCTATGGGGACACATTTTAAGAATATGCAAATATCCTACTCCTCTTCAAAACTTTCCCCTAGATTTAGTATCCACTGTCTTACCTAGTCTCCATGGTTCTTGCAAAATAATGATTTGCCATCACCAACACTTCTAATAAATGTTAATTTCAGCATCATTCTGTTGTAAATAAAAGCCCCTGACTTCGACCTCCATTTATTCATTCACTCTTGCATTCCTTTACTTGGCTATTTACGTATCTTTTCTTTGTGTGGGCCCATTAATCCCTATTGTCTTCAATTGTTTATAATAATTATTGTAGTTAATTATTTTGTTGTTCAAACTGATACAGATTTAGCTAGTGGGAGACCCTTAAAGCTTATTTGTCCTTGTGGCATGCCTCCATTCCTTACTTTCTTACAAAACAAGAGTTCCAAGCTATCTTGTACCTACTCTTTCCCACTCCTGTAATCAGCCAATTTTCTGGGTTGGCTTCTGAGTCATTTTAACAAGTTTCTATCAATCTTCATGTTTCCTCAATTACTGGCATAATTAGTTATTTCAAGGCCATTGTGTATCCCCTCTGCCCCAGTCATAAAATTATTCTTTTATCATTTTAGTGGAGAATAGTGTTTAGAATCTAAGATTTGGGTACTTGGTGTGTTCATTCCTACAGATAAGACTTGACTTTTAAGTTCTCTGAGCAGAAAAGGCCACAGCCAATGAGTTCTTACAGATATTTCCAATTCCAATTCAGCACTAAAGGTTCATTAACTTATACACGTTTCCATATAAACTCTCTTCCCTAACAATGTGAAAATATTGTATCTAGAAAATATAATGACCTGAGTTCAGTATTGATTGACATTTCCCCCTATCTTGAGATTATATTTACATAGAGGATGAAATCTTATGTGTTATACTGAGGAATTTTGACAAAGTCTACCCTCATGCTCCTTTTCCATCAATCTTACTGAAGCAACCATTATTCTAATTTGTTTTCACCATAGATTAGGTTCATGTGTTCAAAATTCACATACATGCAATCATAGAGCATGTAGTCTTTTGTATCTGGCTTTTTTCATACAGCATTATGTCTGTGAGATTCATCCATGTTGTCATATGTTATCTGTTTGTTCATTTTATTGATAAATAATATTCATTTGGGTTGTTTACACTTTGGGCTATTATGAATAAAGCTATTATGAAAATTATCCTCCAAGTCTTTTTGTGTACACATATGTTCATTTTATTCTGTAATTACCTAGTAATGTAATTACTGGGTCAAATGGTGAGTATACCTTGAATCTTGGAAAAAAAACTGCTAAACATTTCCAAAGTGGTTGTATCTCTTTACACTTGCACAGCAATGATGAGCGTTAGAGACACTCCACATCCTCATTACTTGTACTGTCATTCTTTTTAACTTTATCTTTTCTGCTGAGTGTGTAGTAGTAGTATCTCACTGTGGCTTTAAATTGCAATTCGCGGATGACTACTGATGTTGAACACTATTTTATTTGTTTCCTTGCCATTTGAATATCTTCTGTACATCTTCTTTTGGGAAATGTGTGCCCAGTTTTCATTTGGTTGTGTGTTATTTTAACATTAAATAATTAGTCTTTATATATTCTGGAAATCAGATGTTTATAGTGTATTTTTTCTTCCATCTATGGCTCACCTATTTATTTCTTAGTGCTTTCTCTTCAGAGAACAGTTTTTAGTTTTGATGAAAGCCTAATTTATCAAATTTTCTTTGATGATCATTGATTTCTATATCCTGTCTAAGAAATCTTTGTTAGCCCTATGGCTGAAACATTTTTCTATGTTGGCTTTGCAAAGCTTTATACTTTTGGATTTTGTGTTTAGGTATGTGATCCATTTGGATTTCTGGGTGTGATTTGAGATAGGATTTAATGTTTGTTTGGTGGTGAGAACAAATCTGAGGAAGGTTTACTGTATATAAACTACTCCACTATTACTGTAAATGGATTGCCTTCTCTACTGTTTCTCTTTTAATATTAGTTACTTTCTTTTTACAGTCATACTTATAAAAGTGAGTAGTCTGATGTACTTGATTTCCCTTAGGGTTCCAGGCTTTAGAATTTCCTATCATTCTTCTTATCATCCAGTAATAAAACTTTTTCTGTGTATTATTATAATTTAAATTACAGTTTTTAGATATGAGTCTTTAATCTGTATTTTCATGTTTTCTATAAAACAGGAGTCCAGTTTCTTTTCTTCCAGAGAGAAACCAACTATTCCAGCACCCTGATTAATATACATGTATTTTTGCTTTAAAAAAGATACTACTTTTGATTGTTAAAAAGTTCTATTTCCATAATGATTTTATATTTGTTATTGTTTCCATCAATCTATTTATTCCTGTTCTATTTTCATACAGCTTTTAGTTACAGTACTCTATAGTGCATTTTCAAATCTAGAATGGCCCTCATTACTTTTTTTCATTTTCTCATTTTCAGTACTTAATTTTCCTTTCAATTCTATGAAACTTAGTCTTTAATCTTTAAAATTAATTTATTTAAACTTATTTATTTATTAAATTATAATCTATTTAGCTTTTTATTATATACAGATATGTATATTGCCTTAGTTTGCTAGTGCTAGATTACTGATCTCTCAACATTGAATATCCTGTTTTTAAGTTTGTTTACTGTTTTATATTAACTAATGCAGTATGATCATAGCATATGATCGAGAACTGATGGTACTGAAGAAAGAAGTCCAATCTGCACTGAAAGAATTGGCAAAAAACAAGGCTCCAGGAATCGACAGAATACCCATTGAAACGTTTCAACAAATGGATGCAGCACTGGAGGTGCTTACTCCTTTATGCCAAGAAATTTGGAAGACAGCTACCTGGCCAACTGACTGGAAGAGAGCTGTATTTGTTCCCATTCCAAAGAAAGGTGATCCAACAGAATGTGGAAATTATCAAACAATATCAATATCACATGCAAGTAAAATTTTGCTGAAGATAATTAAAAAATGATTGCAGCACTATATTAATGGGGAAGTGCCAGAAATTTAAAGCTGGATTCAGAATAGGGCATTGAATATGAGGGATAGCATCATTATTGATGTCCAGTGGATCTTGGTTGGCAGCAAAGAATGCCAGAAAAATGTTTACCTGTATTTTATTGACTATGCAAAGGCATTCAACTGTGTGGATCATAACAAATTATGGAGAACATTGGGAAGAATGGGAATTCTAGGATACTTAATTGTGTTGTTGTTGTTGTTGTGTGCCATCGAGTAGGACCCACCTCATAGCGACCCCTCCTTGGGTTTCCAAGGCATATCACTACGGAAGTAGATTGCCTCATCTTCCTTCTGAGGAGTGGCTGGTGGGTTTGAACTGCCAGCCTTCTGGTTAGTAGTCAAGTGCCTTCAGCACTATGCTACCAGAGCTCCCAGAACACTTAATTGTGCTCATGAGAAACCTGTACATAGACCAAGAGGCAGTCATTCAAACAGAACAAGAGGATACTACATGGTTTAAAATCAGGAAGGGTGTGCATCAGAATTGTATCCTTTCACCATACTTATTCAATCTGTATGCTGAGAAAATAATCTGAGAAGTTGTACTATATGAAGAAGAATGTGCCATCATGATTGGAAGGAGACTCATTAAAAACCTGCAGTATGCAGATGACACCGCCTTGTTTGCTGAAAGTGAAGATGACTTAAAGCACTTACTAATGAAGATCAGAGACTACAGCTTTTGGTATAAATTACACTCAACAGAAAGAAAACAAAAATTCTCACAACTAGACCAGTAAGTAACATCATGACAAATGGAGAAAAAAATTGAAGTTGTTAGGGATTTTACTTTATTTGGATCCACAATCAACATCCAGGGAAACATCAAGAAATCAGATGATGTATTTATTGCACTGGACAAATCTGCTGCAAATGACCTCTTCTTTAAAATGTTAAAAAGCAATGATGTCACTATGAAGACTGAGGTGTGCCTGACCCAAGCCACTGTCTTTTCAATCACCTCATAGGATTGTGAAAGCTGGACAATGAATAAGGAAGACTGAAGAAGAATTGATGCATTTGAATTGTGGTTTGGTGAAGAATACTGAAAGTACGTGAACTGCCAGAAGAATGAACAAATTGGAAGCAAGAATGGCCAGACTTCATGTCAAGTATTTTGGTCATGTTGCCAAAAGGGACCATTCCCTGGAGAATGATATCATGCTTGGTAAAGTGGAGAGTAAGAGAAAAGGGGGAGACTCTCAATGAGATGGACTGACACTGTGGCTGCAACAATGGGCTCAAGCATAGCAACAATTGTGAAACTGGTGAAGGACTGGGCAGTGTTTTATTCTATTGTACTATGAGTATTATTCTATTGTACTATGAGGATTTGCAAATGCACTGCTGTGAGTCAGAACCGATTTGACAGAACCTAAGAACAACAACAACAATGCAGTATGATATTAAAAGTGCTTATAAGTTTACAGCTCAATGAATTTTCCCTTACTGAACAACTTTTGTAACTGTTGTTGTTTGTAACTAGGATCCATATAAAAGAGCAAAACCTTACTAACACTGAAACCCACCTTTTGCCCCTTTACAGTTGCTACATTTTCACAAGGATAACTGTATATGGAGCTGTGGCAGCATAGACTAATTTTGCCTATTTTATGCTTTATATTAATGGAATAACATAGTATATATTTTTGGGGCCCTAGCTTCTTTTTATTCAAAATTAAGGCCTTGAAATGTATTACTGTATATATAGTATGTTAAGGAGCTCTGGTAGCGTAGTGCCTAAAACATTTGACTGCTAACCAGAAAGTTGGTGGTTCAAACCCACCAGCCATTCTATGGAAGGAAGACTGGGCAATCTACTTCCGTAAAGATTTCCCAACTCGGAAACCCAATGGGGGTCACCGTGAGTTGTAAT